ATTTTTGGGATTTTAAGGACTCCTGCATGGCACTAGCGTTTGTATTTCCCTGGTGTTGGTCCAGGGTTGTGCAACAAACACCTCACCCTATCCCACAGTGCCAAGGTGAGTGTCCCACAGGGATTTCTGTGCCATCTGGATTATCCCTTATTTCCACAGCTGTGTTTCCTTACACTGGACCTGAGTTGAGGGTCTGGCTCCTGCCACAAGATCAATCACCCTTGTTTGGTTCATCACATGCCAAATTACTGGGATCTGTCTGGAGCACTGGCATGGAGCAGGGTGGTGGTGCTGGTGGGATCAGCGTCAAACAGGGAGGGATCCAATGGATGCCAAATCCCCTCCCTGTGTGATGGAGAACCACATGTCCTCCCTGGCGAGGCACACCATCCCCTCAGAGACACCACAGTTGCTTGAGGATGGCCACGGATTTGCTGGGATTTGGGAGCAGGGGAGGCTATGGTGGAGAGGCTTCAGCCTCCATCACCTCCCTCCCCATCAGCATGGGTTGGGCTGGATGTTCCTCCACCTCCTGGGCAGGCGACATTCCTGCAACACTCCTGAAGCTGGAGGAATGTGGGATCACGAAGCCAGTGCCCACCACCCACTTCCTACTGCCAGGGGTGCAGCACAGTATAACTGTGTAAAAACCCACTTTTGGTGGTTTGGGGTTTCTGTCCTGACTGCTCTTGCACGTAAAGGAACACACCCCCCAAGCTTTGCAGGAAGAAACTGCCAGTGCAAAATGCAACACAGAGGAAACATGTCACTGGAAAATATAAAATACACCTGCCAGTAAGTCTTTTCAAAACCAAAGGAGCCTGCACTGTTTGGTGGTCTCTAACCTTAGTCTTAGAGCAGCTCTTGAAGACACTGAACAGACAAAACTGTTCAGTGCATCCGTCATCAAAGCTCGCTCCTTCTGCCAGATTTCACAGCAAATCTCTGCTCTGCCACGCTCAGCGAAAAGAAAAACACCAAAAGGAAAACTCTGTGTAATAGAGGGTGGATAATCTTCTTCCTCCTTTAGGAAAAGTGTGTTCTCTCTTGCTTCAACCTGCTTTTAACACACACACACACACACACACACAGACACAGGGATGAGGCTCCAGCCCCCACCCCGTCCAGGCACCCAGCCGGGCACAGCGAGGCTTCAGCTCCCTCTAATGTTTCTGGCCCGACAGGAGGATCCCGAACGGGACAGGCCCGCGCAGGGAGCGGGCGGGCGGCCAGGCGAGCGCGGCCCGAGGGGAGAATGTGACGCTGCAAACGCGTGGAAGCAGCTGGGCCGGCACAGGGGGAGTGTGTGCGTGTGATGTGCCGAGCAAACGGCGTGAGAGGGGAAAGGCTGCAGCGCTCCGGAAGGGAATGCGGCTGCATTTAATGCTCGGTTAGTAACAACAAATGAAAGATTTCGCAGCAAAAAGGGCCGTTCCTCCAGAAAATACTATTTTTAACAGTCTAAATAAATACTCTAAAATACTCCAAGTGTTTCCATCCCTGGGAATGTTCAAAAAACGTGTGGATGTGGCACTTGGGAACAAACATGGTTTAGTGGTGAACATGGTGGTGGTGGGTTGATGGTTGGACTTCATGGTCTTAAAGGTCTTTTCCATCCCTAATGATTCTGTGATTTTATGGTTCTACTCATTCCTGCCTGCACAGGGACTATTAGGACAAGAGCTCTGAGCTCTGCACGGCTTGTGGCCACAGAAGTTTCCCAACCCTGTCCATGTGAAGTGCAACACAGCTTTAAAAACTGCAGCAGAAGAAGCAGAAATGGGAATTTGATAACATAAATACAAAACAAAGTTGGAAGCTCTTGATCAAAATTAGTGGTGTGACACCACCACGGCTGTGGTGGTTCGTGGTGAGAACCTGGAGCTGTAGGAGGGTATGGAAGCATTGAATCCATACAAACAGCACAAAATCCATACAAACAGCACAGAATCCATACAAACAGCACCCAATCCGTACAAACAGCACCCAATCCGTACAAACAGCACCCAATCCGTACAAACAGCACCCAACCCACACAAACAGCACCCAGCCCACACAAACAGCACATCAGTGTGTGTTACAGGAGGTGTAACACTGAGGCACAGGAAGCAGAAGGGGCAGCCAGGCCATCTCCTCGCTGACATGCTGAGTCCCAGACCACAGGAATGGATGTGTGAGTGCAACACAGATCAGGGGATGGATAACAGCGAGAGGGGGAATGTAATTACCCTGCGAAGAATAAATCACTTTAACGGTTCAGTTACTGAGATCACAGCGAGGCAGTGGCACAGCCTCTTAATTAATCTTCTGCTTTGCAGCCTGTTCCTGCCCCTGCTCCATCTCCAGCTCACCCTGGGGAGGACACTCCATGGTGGGGACACACCAGCTGAGCAGATCCAGGAGGATCTCGGGAGCAGCAGGGCATGCCCAGGTGAGGGATCAGCCTGTCCCGGGGAGAGCTGTGCTCCCTGCTCTGTGCAGGGTCATACCTGTGGCGATCCTGGTGATGTGGTGCCCCTGTGGTGCTCCAGGCCTGTGTCAGCAGCAGCAGCAGTCAGGAACTCTGAGCTAATTATTGTGAGGAATTGCTGGGCACAAAGCAGGTCTGGGGATGGCAAAGCCCTGGGTCTGCTGGACTGTGAGAGCATGAAGGGAGAGCCTCCCCTTCACCCCAATCCCACCCACTGCCCCTCTCCACAGCCCAAACCTCCCTGGCTCCTCACCCCCAGCACTGACCCTCTTCAGCCCCACAAGTCCCAACCTCCCCTCCATGAATTCCACCCCCATTTCTCATCCTTTCACAAACTGCTCTTTGGGCCCCCTCACCCCTCGTCCTTGCCAGAATGACTCCCTTCACAGGATGGCCCCTTTATCCCCCAAAATTGCCTCCTGGGGATTGCTCCTCTTCACTGCCCACATTGCTCCTCAGGGAAATGAGGAGCCTGTGCCTTGTCTCCCAAACTGCCCCTCAGGGATTCCTCCCTCACTCCTCCACATTGTTCCTCAGGGAATCACCTCCTTATCCCTCAAAACTGTCCCTCAGGGATCACTCCCTCACTCCCCTTCAGGGACTGCCCCCTCTTCTTATAAAACTGGGCCTCGGGAATGAGCCTTTGTCCTTCTCAGGGATCACCCCCTTGTCCCCCAAACTTCCCGCTAGGGATTGCTTCCTGTGCCCCCCACCACATTGCTCCTAAGGGAAATGCCCCCTTATCTCCCAAAACTGCTCCTCAGGGATCACCCCCTCACAACTCAGGGACTGTTCCCATCACTCCCCCACATTGCTCCTCAGGGAATTGCTCCCTTATCACCCCACACTGCCCCTCAGAGATTGTTCCTCTTGCCCACCCCCACCATGTTGCTCCTCAGGGAAGTGTCTCCTTGTCCTCAAAACTGGCCCCCAGGGATGGCCCCTCATCCTCTTCAGGGATCATCACCTCCTTACTCTTCCTCCAGGATCAACTCTCATCCTCCAAACTGCCCCTCAGGGATAGCCCCTCATCACCCTCAGGGATCACCCCCTCATCCCCAAATCTGCCCCCCAGGGATTGCTCCTCTCACTCCTCCACATTGTTCCTTAGGGAATCGCCCCCTTTCCCCCCGGAACTGCCCCTCAGGGATTGACTGCTTCACTATATTGCTCCTCAGGGAAATGCTGCCTTACCCTCAAAACTGCCCCTCAGGGATGGCCTCTCATCCCCCTCAGGGATCACCCCTCATCCTCCAAACTGTGCCTCAGGGTTCGCCCACCAAAACTGCCCCTCAGGGATTGATCCCCTCACTCCCCTATGTTGCTCCTCAGGGAAATGCACCCTCATCCCCAAAACTGCCCCTCAGAGATGGCCCCTCGTTCCCATCAGGGATTGCCCCCTAATCCCTAAATCTGCCCCTCAGAGTTGGCCCCTTCCCCTCAGGGATGTGCTCTTATCCTCCTCAGGGATCGCCCCCTCATCCTCCAAACTGTGCCTCAGGGATCGCCCACCAAAACTGCCCCTAAGGGATTGATCCCCTCACTCCCCTATGTTGCTCCTCAGGGAAATGCACCTTCATCCCCAAAACTGCCCCTCGGGGATGGCCCCTCATCCCCATCAGGGATTGCCCCCTAATCCCTAAATCTGCCCCTCAGGGATGGCTCCTCATGCTCCTCAGAGATGGCCCCTTCCCCTCAGGGATGTGCTCTCATCCCCCTCATGGATCGCCCCCAGATCCCCCAAACTGCCCCTCGGAGATGGCCCCTCATCCCCCCAGATGTCCCTCAGGGATGGCCCCTCATCCCCCTCAGGGATCGCCCCCTCATCCCCCAAACTGCCCTTCGGGCACCTCACTCTCCCCAGAGCTCGCCCCTTTGGGTGTCACGCCCTCGCTCCCCCCTCGCACCTCCCTCCATCCTTCCCCCGCGCGCTCTCCCCGCTCCGCTCCCGCCCGGCCCCGCCCGCCGCCCCACGCCCTCTCCCCGCCCCGCCGCCGCCTCCGCCGCTCCCCCCTTCCGTGCCCGGCCGGCGGCGGCGCCCGCCCCATGCGCCGCTGCTGCCCGGCGCTCTGCATCGCCGGCACCGCCATCGGCGCCACCGCCATCGGCGCCACCGCCACCATCGCCCCCGTCCCCGTCCCGCCCGCCGCCGTGTCCCGCCCGCCGCTGCTGGTGCTGGTGCTGCTGCAGCGCCGCCCCGCGCCGCCCGCCCCCGCGGCCCCGCCGCACAAGATGGCGGCCGGAGGGAGCGGCGGCGGCCCCGGCGGCCTCTCCTCCTCCTGCCCGCAGCCGCCACCGCCCCCGCCGGGCAACGGGGCCGCGGCCGCCGCCTGCACCAACGGCGCGCCCGCCTCGCCGCCCGGCCTCACCTACAACCAGAGCGGCGCCGCCGCCAACCCGCCGCCGGCCGGCGGAGGCGCGGGGGGCCCGGCAGCGGCGGCGGCGGGGGCGGCGGGGGCGGCCGGCGGGGCGGGCGGTGCCGGCGGGGCGCTGCAGCGGGAGCCGGTGTACAACTGGCAGGCGACGAAGCCGACGGTGCAGGAGCGGTTCGCGTTCCTCTTCAACAACGAGGTGCTCAGCGACGTGCACTTCCTGGTGGGGAAGGGCCGCGGCTCGCAGCGCATCCCGGCGCACAGGTGGGGCGGGGGGTCCCGTGCGCGGGGAGCGGGGAGTGCGGGGGCTGCGGGTCAGGGCGGGGGGTCCCGGTGGCCCTGGGCCTCGGGAGGGTCGCGGGGGGGCGGCCCGATGACCTTGCGGGATGGGGGGGTCCTCTCACCCCTCCCTCCCCCCCGTTGCTCCTCAGGGAATTGCCTCCTCTTATCTCCCAAAACTGCCCCTCAGGGATCGCCCCTCACCCTCCTCGGGGATCACCCGCTCATCCCCCAAACTGCCCCTCAGGGATTGCTCCCGTCGCCCCCCCCACATTGCTCCTCAGGAAAATGCCTTCTTATCCTCAGAACTGCCCCCCAGGCACGGTCTCTCATCTTCTTCAGGGATCGTCCTTCATCCCCCAAACTGCCCCTCGGAGATGCCCCAGGAGGGCCACGGCTTGGGTGTGGGGGCTCCCCTGCACCCTCGGGGGGTGATGCCCCGGCAGGGAGGGGGGTACAGGGGTACAGGGTTTGGGTTTGGTGCAGGGTTTGGGCTGCTGTGCCTCCTTCGTGAGGGGAGAAAGTGGGACTGGAAAACTGCATCCCACATTTTATCCCCTTGCTTGGGGATACGCCCCCGGGTCCGGAGTGTGGGACCCGCAGTTTGCTCTCCAGCACCCTGAGAGGTGACTCTGGCCCTGTCGTGGTTAGTCAGTGTCACCTCAAATCTGTCCCAGTGTCGAGTCTCTCCTGACGGTCCCTGCCCGAGGATGGGTCTGGTGTTTTGGGGTGAAAGTGTTTTCCCTGGAGGGATGGTGTGAGTGGGGCAGGCACAGTGCAGAAAACCCCAAATCCCTGGATCTCGCTTGGAAATAATCCTTGGTTTTGTGGGTAGTGGAGGTGAGGAGGAACAGTCTCCCAGACTGCCTGATCCCTCCTGACAGGGGGAGGGATCAGGGAGAGCATCGGGGGTGGAAAGGGCAATGATTTGAGAGCCCAAATTTCTGCCACAACATTTTGTTTTTAAAATAACCTTTATTGAATCTTTCCCGAAGCCTTGTATTTTGGGGGTCAATGCACTGCTATAAAGAGCCGTGTTGAGAACGACACCTGAGCCTGAGGAACCCCTCGAGTTTAACGCTTAAGGCCGAGCTGCCATTTAGGAGTTTGCAGCTCAGGGGAGCTGGGACTCGCCTCCACCTGGATGATGCAGAACTGATGTGGCTGATTGACACTGGGCTGGCTCCTTGAGGGAGGGAGCTCTGGAGGATCCATGTGTGCCACCCACTCCCCACCGCCCCGGGAAGGGCCTCCTGAGCAAGAGCTGTTCACTCAGAGACAGGACCTGCTTTAATTGGGGTGAGGGAGGGTCCTTGGTGTACCTGGAAGTGCTGTTTGGCAAAGTGAGCATTGCTCCAAACATCTCCAAACTATCACATTTCTCCTGAGCGCTCCTGTTCCTGGAAGTTCCCCCTTCAGATTTCCCCTTTTCTCTCGCTTTCAGAACAAACCACGCTTGTTCCAGGCTGGTTTGAGCGTTCAGGGTGTCAGCTCTGCTCTCTTATAATTTGAAGCTTAATTAGTATTTGAGTAAGCTTGCTCCTGTCCTGACAACTAGGCTTGCTGGGTGGGGAGGGGCAATGTTCAGCCCAGAGATAAATGGAAAATAAATGAAGCTTTAAAATAATAATAGTAATAATAAAAAAATTGGCCCCAAAGTGAGATGCTGCTTAATTGCTCTGAAATCCATCTGGTGCTCTGGGTGGTAAGGGTAGAATGGAGTGTGTCATGCCGTGCCATCCCACCTAAGGATTCTATGGATCTGAGTAAAACTCACCCGTGTGATGTTATGGTTGGGATATCCTGGTGATTCGTGAAACACCGTGGTTATTTCAGAAACAAGAGAGCTTAAAATAAAACCACCCAGACCCCTTCTGTGCTCAGAAGCCCAGAAGCAGCAGCCCCAGCAGCCCCACAGCAGAAGATGCTTTGCGCTGGAATTGAGTTGCTGGATTTGATTTGAGAGGCACCGTTTGGCTTCAGTGACCAGGGCTGGTGTTGAGTGTCTGAAATCATAAAATCATGGAATCACAGAGTTGTTAAGGTTGGAAAAGATGTTTAAGATCGTCCAGTCCAACTGTCAACCCAGCACCATGTTCACCACTAACCCACATCCCCACGTTTTTTTTTGGACACTCCCAGGAGTGGTGACTCCACCGCTTCCCTGGGCAGCCTGTGCCATTGCTTCACAACCCTTTCTCTGAAGAAATTTTCCCTAATATCCAATCTAAACCTCCCCTGGCACAATAGTACACAGCTCTCAGGGAAGTGTTTCTGCAGCCTGGTTTTCCTGTGCCAGTTTTCAGACCAGACTGTGTCCCAGGTGTGGCTGCAGGAGAAACAGATCCTCAACAGGGTTCTTGGACAGCCCCTCGTGGTGCCTTGAGGAGCTGGACTGCAACATCCTCCCTGTCATCTTCCATCCAGCTGCACGGGGTGTCAGGAGGGCTTTGGCAGCAGACTGGATAGCACAAGGAATCTGAGGGACACAGTCCTGTGGGAGCTGGGGATTGCTGGTGCAGGGGGTTGCTGGTGCAGGGGGTTGCTGGGGGTGGAGGTGCAGGGGATTGCTGGCCAGGCTGCTCTGGGATGGAGCAGAGCAGGGGTGCAGTGTGTGCAGGTTGAGGTGTTTCTGTGTGCTGAGCAGGCGTGGGCAATGTTGTCCACACGTGGTGGTGCAGGGAGGAGGTTTCTGACACAGCTGGAGCTTCAGGTGTGTTTCTGAGCGAGCCCGGCACGTTCAGTTAATGGCTTTAATCTGAGGGGAGATTTAGATTAGAAATCAGGAAGGAATTCTTCTCTATGAGGATGGGAAGGCCCTGGCACTGGTTTCCCAGAGCAGCTGTGGCTGCCCCATCCCTGGAAGTGTCCAAGGCCAGGCTGGATCAAAGGAGCAACCTGGGCTGGTGGAAGGTGTCCCTGCCCATGGCAGGAGAGGGGACTGGATGGACTTTAAAGTCCCTTCCAACCCAAACCAATCTGGGATCCTGTGGCTCAGCAGTTCATATCAAGCTGCAGAGACAGACAGTAGAAACCTCGCAGAGCAACTATGAGCAAACCTTCATTTTGTGTGTGAAAGCTCAGTTTGTAAATGGTGTAAGCGCCTCTGCTGGGTTGAACTGAATGTTCTCCTGTCCAAGCATCTGCAGCCCTGAGAAGATCAGATGTTGTCCATCTTCAGGAGGCTCCAGACCCTGTGGAAGTTCCTTGCCTGCCCTGGGACAGGCTCTATCTCTGAGCCTTGAGCTCGTTCCCTCTTGCTGCTGAATCAGCCATGAAGAAGGTGGAATGGCCTTAATTTTTTTCCACGTCAAGGCCAGGCCTGGAAGCCTCACAGTGCCGACGTGGCCAAGGTCAGCACACTGATTAGGCCCAGCAGGGAGGGGAGAAGGGGTTTTTTTTCCTTCCAGATCTGCTTCATCAAGCACGACATCAATGAGATTAGAAATGTCTAAACCTCGTCACCCAGGAGCTGCATGGGTGTCATAATGAAGCTTGTTAATTGGCCAGAAAACAGGGCCTGAAAGGGAGCAGGGCAAGTGTGTGGTGATGCAGCCCTGTGTGTGCTCCAGCCTGGGAGATCTACAGCTTGGGAACAGCCTGAGTAGGATTCTGGCTGCTGTTTCCAGGAGTCTCTTCTGAGCTCATCCTGTCTTTTCTTGGACCCTTATTAACTCTCAGTGCCTGCAGCACCGTGTGCTGAGGTGTCCCACAGCTCAGCTCCTGTGCAGGGCTGTTCCTGGGGGCTTCTGAACCTGCCTCCTGCTCCTTTCCCCAGGCTCTCCATCCTCTGCAGCCAGCAGATGATCATCATTCATTAACCTCTCCTCACCCATGGTCTCACTGAGCTCTGTTCTTGTGCCAGCTCCTCTGGAACAGATATTTTAAGGTTTCTGTGCAGAGGAGCGGATGGAGGAGGGAGGTGGCACAGCAGTGGTGGGGTTGTTGTGGTTCCTGAGTGGTTTCTTGTATTGTTGGTGTTACCATAGTGCCTGGAGAGGGAGCAGGAGTGGGGGGTGTGCACATCAAACCAGGTGACAGGTGGAGGTGCCAAGGTGAACATGAAGCAGTGAAGATTTTGGGTAGGAACCATCCTTCTTTGGATCAGCTTTGGATCCTTGTGGAGCCAACTCAAACTATTAACCTCATGGGAGTTCCTGTGACTTGCTGCTGAAAGTCAGTGTGCTTTGACTCTTCCACATGCAGAGGGAATGATGAGAGATCAGGTGTTGCTTTCTTGCTTCTTTTGCTGTGTTCTGCTGATTTCTCTGCATCCTTTCAGGAGCCCACCTTGTTTTGGCCACCAGAGTGTTTTAAAATAACCCTCTGTTGAATTCTCCCATCTGAAGCAAACCCCATCTCTTCCTCCTGCAGACCTGCATGGTTGGGGAAGGCTGTTGGATTGTGCATCCCTGCTTTTCCTGGAGTGTCTTTAGAGCAGCTCCAAATGTTCCTTTCAGCACAACTAAGAAAACACTCTGAAGACAGAGGGATTTTTTTTAATATTAGTTGTGCTCTCTTACTGTTTTAAGAGAACTTCAAATGTGGAGCCCTGTGTTTCTCTGGCCCCTCCTGGGATCCCGTTAGGGCTCGGCCGTTTACAAAATCTGACTGATTTGTCCCGGAGTGAAAGGAAAGCAAACATTTGAGAGGTTTTTTTAAATGAATGCCCTTTTCAAATAGCTTTGAAAGCTCCTGCTCATTGAGGACCTGTCCTGTGCTGGCTGTGAAGATGAAAATTGGAGAGTTCCATTAATATATGTTAATTTTGGGTAGCGAACAAAGCTCGTGATTGTCCCGCCACCATCACTGCTCTTGGAGGGACAAGGATTTTTGTTTCATCTGGCAGTTCTGGTATTCTGGTTTTTATTTGTTCTTGACGTTTTTCTTGAGGCTTGTTTGATGGAAATATGTGTGTTGTACTTTTTTGTAGCCGCTGTGGTTTGTGCCCAGCTCCCTGAACCCGTCAGGAACAACACAACCAGCTCAGCAGCCAGACTCTGTCACAGCACACAAGCCTGGCACATCCATGGGGCTTCACTCCATTGTGTCCATGGGAAGCCTCCTCTGGATGGCAGGGGAGTGAAAAGCGAGAAAATGAAAAATGTTGTTTAAATGGAAATTTCCTGCTTTTCAAAGGTCATTTCGTACTAAATCTGACTGGAATTCCCCTTTAGTGTTGGACTTTCCTTGGGCTACAGGTGCTGGAGGTTTTTGCCTTGTGCCTGCTGTCCTGTATGGATTTCTGCCCACAGTTCTTGATCCTTCTCCGTGGAAGTGGGCATTAAACTGCTGCAGCAAGAGCCTGGAATGTTCCAGCTCCTTCCTTTTCCTAGCTGGTGGAGAAGTTGTTGCAGTCACCTTCTGCTTCCCCACACCTGTAGCCAGGGCTGGGTTTGACTTCAGGGAGCTGTGGGATTGCAGACATCAGGAGTAAGATTAATTTTCTGGCAAAAACTCACCCCTGTATTTTCAAGCAGTGAAGGTTCTCAGAATGGCTTTTTTCAGTCCTAGAGCAGGAACAGCAGCTTAAACTTACACAGGCCCCCCAGAAGCCCAGGTCTGGGCTTTCTCCTAAAGCAGGAGCTGGTGTTTAGCAGGGAGGGAATTATCTTGTTCTCATGGGAGTGCTGGAATACAGCTTTTGGTCTCAAACCTGGTTTGTGGAAATTCCTGCTTCCAGTTTCTTCAGGGCCAGTAACTTGTCTCTCCCCAGGAACTACCACATGAACTCCCAGCAGTGTGGGAGGGTCAGTGTGCACCCCAGGGTGGGGGTTTGCTCTGCCCTCTGGGCCAAGTCTGGAGCAGGTTTTGCAGGGCTGGAGGCAGCAACATGGCCAGGGAAGGCTCCTTTTGGGCCCACAGCTCCCAGTTCTGCTGCCAGGGCAATGTCATGTGTTGGGAGCTTGCCCTGCTGTCCGCAGGGATGTGTCCCTGGGGAGGAGGAAGGAGGATGGAGGTTGTCTGGTGACAGGTTTCCAGTGGGTGACTGTGGGGAATTGCACCACGACTTGGGCTCTGGAAGAACTTGAATTCGTGAACTTTGCTCTTTTTTAGCTTCTCAGCCTCGGGGCAGTCTGTAGCCTGCTGCAAAGCAGCCACGTGTATTCTGTTCCATGATGCCCAAAATCTGGCCTTTGGGGACCTTTTGCTGTGCTGTGTCCCGGGACAGGGCTCAGAAGGGAGTTCCTTGCAGCTTTGGTGCTTTGCAGTGGAGGAACAGCCAGCCTGGCACTCCCTGCTCTTGCAAAACACTTTTGCTTCAGCTCTAGGAACAATTTGCTTTCCCTGAGGGTGGCTTTGGGCATTAGCAGCAAGCCTGGGATTTTTTTTTTTGTTTTTAAATACCTCTGATTTAACATCAGGTTTTCGTTCCTTTGTCTTTCCTCTCCAGGTTTGTGCTGGCTGTGGGCAGTGCTGTCTTCGATGCCATGTTTAATGGTGGCATGGCCACAACCTCCACAGAGATTGAGCTGCCTGACGTGGAGCCTGCTGCCTTCCTAGCCCTGCTCAAGTAAGCTGCTCCTAAAGTACAGGAAAACTGGGAAGCAGTGGACTTACTGTGGAAAAAACAATTTCTAGTGAAAGCAAGGAGCTATTTTGTAGAGTGGAGATGGTTGACTTTCTGAATAAAATGCCCCTTTGGTCTGTTCAAGGGTTGATGCTGGTGTTAAATCTCTCTTTTCTGGGTAAAAGTCACTAGACTTTTACTATTTTTGTGCTACTGCACAAATATATATATATATATAAAAATATCAGCCATTATCTCCTAAATTATTGTTCATTAATTGGTTTGATTTGATCCAAATCAAATTCTGATCAAATTCTTTGGGAGAAGAGGGGAAAAGGAAAAGTGATCCTCTGTAAGTTACAAATACTTGGAGCCTGTTTGGGTTATGAGCAAGTTCTAACAGGTAAGCAGGAGTATAAAATTCATGTCAGCCATTCCATGTGGTTTCACCCTTTGTGTGGGATTTATTCCTCTTTTGGAGAGCTGGATTGGAATTTACATTTCCAGTGTGTGTTTCTGGGGAAGGAGGAGGAGGAAGGGGCTGGAACATCCTATTCACTAATTCCTTTAAGCTTGGCTGGTGCTGTACAACATCCACCAGCAATCCTGAATGGATGCTGGAAAGGCATTGTCCTGGTTCTATAGGATTTCTGTAACCTACTTCCAGGGGTTTCCAGTCCTGTGCTCTTGACACGTTCCCTGCTTGCTTCCCATTGGGAACAGTGACTATATATAGCTCTGGCACACTTTTTGCTTTACCTTCAGACAGTGCCTGTGCTATCTGAGAATATTTTAAAATTGATCTTGGCTGGAATGAAAGGCCAGAAATAATTGGGAGCCCTGAGCCCCCTCCCCTCTGGCTCCCTTTGAATCAGACAGCAGCACGTGGGGAATCCCTCTCATTGGTGTGTGACTGTCAGGCAGGTGGATCTCTGGAGGGCAGGGTTAGTGACTATCTTTAAATCTTAGGGAGGCTCAAATAGCAAGTGAATTAGAGGCAAAAGGCACGTTGTTTCCCTGAGATTTCAGCACTTGGTTAAACTGATTTCAGAAGAGCCCCCAAGTGATGAGTTTAGGTGGGTTTCAGCAGAAGTGGTGTCTGGGTCACCTCTGAGCCTGCAGTCCTGCAGTGCAGGAGCAGTGCCCATGGTCCAGTGACACTTGGATTGCTTAAATCTGGAATTGGAAGTGTCAGTTTTAAAGTGCTTGGAGCTGAAAGTGCCAGGGGAGGTTTGGGTGCTGCACTCCAGGAGGAGGGTGACTGAGTATTGGTGTGAACCTTCCCAGAGTGAAACCAGCCCCTCCAGACACTGATATAGAGTGGCAGCTGATCCTTACACGTGTCTCTGGACTTGGTCCAAGCCATGATCTAATGCTGTAGGATCAGGAGCTTATCCAGGGACACAGTGCCCATCCTGGAAGTTCTGCAGAAGGTCCCGTCTGGGGGCTAGATCCTGATGGTGTCTGTGGGTTAGTGGCCTTTAACAGGTCTGCAGTAACTGTGTAAGAGATCCCTTTTTATTATTGTTGTTTTCAAGGTAACCCAAGATAAGAACACTTTTGGTTGTCTGGAATTATAATCTAAATGTTCTTTTAAATTGATAGTACACTTTCTCACAGTTCAGGCCTGTCTTGTCCCTCTTAGCACACACTGTTTGGACTATTGTAAGCAGAAATACTAACACGATGCAAAAAGAAACACACAGTCATTGCAGTAAATAAATAGTTGGGTTTAGATCCACTGTGTTCCTTTAATCCTGGAATAAAAAGGATTGCTCAGTGCAAATGGGGCTGGGAGGGGATGTGTGCAAAATACATTGATGAACCTGCTGCTGCTATTGACAGATGCTCTGGAGCAGCACAAAAGCTGCTTTCAGCAGAGAGAGTGCTTCCCTTCCTGTGAATCTCGCTGTTTATGCTTCCCTGAATGGCATCCTGGCCCTCTGTGGCTGGAGGAGCAGGAGTTCCACTGCTGCAGATGGGAATCCTGCCTGGCATCCCGCTGGAAAAGCCCTCCAGGAGCAGCGGCCACACAATGTGCTGCTGTGTCCCCTTCAGAGAAATGCAGGAGGAGAACTGGCTGGAGTTTCCCAAATATCCCATGGAACAGGAGTGCCAAGCACAGTGAACACACTTAATCTCTGCTTTGTGCCTTTAAGATCCTGACTGGCAAATGCTCCACTGGTTAAAGGGGAAACAGTGAACAAAAACCATCCATGGGCTGCTCAGTCTGGAGAAGGGAAGGTTTTGGGGAGACCTTTGAGGCCCTTCCAGTGCCTAAAGGGGCTCCAGGAGAGCTGGAGAAGGACTTTGGACAAGAGTCTGGAGGGACAGGACAAGGGGGAATGGCTTGACTCTGACACAGGGCAGGGTTAGGTGGGATATTGGGAAGGGATTGTTGGCTGTGAGGGTGGGGAGGCCCTGGCACAGGTTGCCCAGAGCAGCTGTGGCTGCCCCATCCCTGGGAGTGTCCAAGGCCAGGTTGGACAGGGCTTGGAGCCACCTGGGCTAGTGGAAGGTGTCCCTGCCCATGGCAGGGGGTGGCACTGGATGGGCTTTAAGGTCCCTTCCAACCCAAACCAGTCTGGGATTCTCTGATTAGGACTAACACCAGTGTGTCACTGGTTCCACTGAGCTCAGCCTGTTGGTTCCTGCTCTCTCTGGTCAGTGTGCTCAGGTGTGAGGGAGCACAGTCAGGTTGCCTTTGTTTTTCCATGGAGTATGAATGTACTTCCTTGTTTTGGCCTGGCAGGGAAGGCTGTGCTTTGCTTCAACATGGCAGCCTTTGTTTCTCATTGCAATTAACTCTTGTTTTTCATTGCAATTAACTCTTGTTTTTCGTTGCAATTGACTCTTGTTTTTCATTGTAATTAACTCTTGCTTTATGCTGAGGTCACACTGTGAGCTGTACTTAACACCTCTGCGATGAAATGGAATGGTTTGATCCATAAAATGATGAGGAGAAAGTGAGGTGCAGTGGGTGGGTATGTTTGAGTGCTTCTGAGTGCTTCTGAATTAGTACTGTAAGATGGAGCTCCTCTTCTGAAGGGAGGGTTGGATTTTTGTCCTAACTGAACAGCCAAAATTGTGAATTTTAAGGGGTGCACTTGGCCAGAGACTGTTCTAGCCTGGTGTAAGTGGAGGGTCAGAGCTCACTGGATGGAAGGCAGTTCAAGGTGCTCCAGTGGGTGTCCCAGCTATTGAAAGTTACACTGTAAAGTGTCTGTTACAAAAAAAAAAAGTGAAGAAGCTTCTCCTTGGTAAACCAGAGTCAGCGGAAAGGATGTGAAACCCTTCCCTCTCCCTGGTGTAGGAAATGGGGCCAGGATGGCAGGCAGAGGCACAAACATGTTTTTTCTGAGTTGCAGGGGTTTTACTCTGTTACCTCAGTCCACCACAGTGATGTTTGTTTGCCTGTTTCAGATTTCTTTACTCAGACGAAGTTCAGATTGGACCAGAGACTGTTATGACAACACTTTACACAGCTAAAAAATATGCAGTTCCAGCCCTGGAAGCTCATTGTGTGGAGTTCCTGAAAAAAAACCTCCGAGCAGACAACGCCTTCATGCTGTTAACACAGGTGAGTCTGGGGTCGTTTGCCTGGAGGGAGGTCCAGCACAGCAGGAAAACGGGAATTTTCCGAGTGTTACGAAGTTGGTCATCCCAAATGGAGCAGTTCTGGGTCAGTTGGAATTCTTCCTCACAGGAGTCCAGAGCTGATGAGCAGGTTCTTGCAAGGAGCAATAAAATACAGCAAATCTTGCTGCTCTTTCAGACCTTTGTTTTGCTGTGGCAGGTGATTCCTTCCAGAGTGTGAACTGGGCATGGAGTTAACAAGGTGGAGAGAGCTCATCTGCCAGGAAGAAAAGTGGGATGAGAGGATTTCCCTGTGTTACAGGTTCAGGACTGGTGTGCTCTCAGTGCTGTGTGTGGCTGCTCAGCCATTCCTTGGAGAGGACTTCTGTGCAGCACTTCCCCTGAAGTGGAAGAAAAAGCAACTTTTTCATGAGTGCTTTGGTTGATTTTCCTCAGAGAGGAGTGAGGTGCTCTCTTCCTCAGCCTGTCCCTGCTCACCCTCCTGCACTGCAGGCACAGACCTGCAGTGTCCTTGGCTCTCTGTGGGACCAGCTGCACATCCTCTTGCCCCTGTGCCTGATCTGTTCTGTGAGGGTTGGGCTCCTCCATCCTCCATTGGACTCTTGAAGCAGCAAACTAGAAGACAGTGTTTACAACTTTGCTCCTTTTGGAGAAGATCAGGCTTTGTGTGCAGGTTGATTAAATGAGAATCCTTCCCGTTTCCCAGCCCCACTTTTCCCTGTGTGCTGGCAGCTGGTGGCACCCACAGTGCTGTGCCCTGTGTGGCAGTGTCTGTGGCACTGCACCCTGCCCTGGGTGCTGTAGGAACAGGGAACACAGGCATTATGTCTTTCCTTTCTGGAATGGGCTGACTGGACTCGCCCTGGAGGGATATTCCTGATCAGCCAGCTCAGGAAAGCTGCCACGGAGTCTGATGTGAAACAAACCTTGCAGAGTTGTTTTCCCAGCTGCCCTGAGTTGGGAACCAGCACACTGAGGTGGTCTGGCTCTGAGGGGTTGCCCTGACTTGCCCAGCATTCCTGTCTGCTGGATTCCCCCCCGTGTCAGGAGTCCCAGTGTCTCTCTGGCTGTAGGCACCGTGTTGGTGGCAGTGCTACACCAGCAGTTTTGCAGATATTGAGGCAGTGTCAGCCCAAAGCAATCACGGCTGAGCTCTTTGCTGGGGATTAGGCTGGGATTTTATTTTGAGTTTAAATATTTGGATCAAGTTCTTAAAGTAGTTCCACGTCACGTTGCTGTTGTAGACACTCGTCACTGCTTGGATTCAGCTCCTGCTGCAACACACCACGTCCCTCCTCACACATCCTCTTTAACTTGGCCCTTTTCCACCTGCCATAAACAGGTGAGGCAGCTCCAGGACGTGGGGGAAATCCACCCTGCACTTCCCAGAGGAACATTCAGGACTTAAAGGCTCTTGCTTGGGCAGTGGCAGCCAGGTCTGCCCTCCCATCTGATGTGTGGTAGGACAATCGTAACTCCTTGGCTGCAGCTCTCCTGTTCTTTGGATTCAGCAGCTGCAGTCTCAAAGATCAGGAGCTGTTGGCCAAGAGCTGGGAGGAGATCTTCCCTGGGGGCTGCAGTTTTGGGGAGATCCCTCACACTAACCTTTGCCTTGTGAGGTTTGGAGGTGTCAGCTTTTGGGGCTGTTCTTTCTGCGGGGATATTTTGTTGTGGCTTGCTCAGTCTCTGCACCCAAGTTTGCAGCTTTGGCAAGGTAATATCTAGGTTCATGGGGACTTCCTTACAGGTCACAAAGGTCCTTCTTTGGTGAAAGAGGAAGGTGCCCTTGTTTTTCAGGTGCCAAAACCAAGATACTGCCTGGCACTGAGGCAGCTGAGATGCCAGATGGGGAAAGGTTTTCCTTTTGTTTGTGACTCATCCATTGTGATTGATGATCAGTGGTGACTCTCATCTAGTTTATGTTCACCATTGCTCTATATCAAGTCTCTAAGAGATTTGAGGCTGATGTGCTTTGGGAAACGTGTTGGTGTCTCCATGACTGGCTGTAGGAGGCACCTCACTGAAGGGATCTGTTCTCACAGTGCTCTTGGGTCTGGACCTTCAGTGTGACAATCTGCCTGTTTTCTGCTCTTACTGCATCAAATCAACAGCTTGCACAGTAAATTACAGACCTGAGACAGATCTTGTACAAGGCATTGCCCAACAGCCTTAAGGTCATGGACCTGAGATCAGAGAGCCCCAATCCCCCTCTGGTGTCCCTGCCCCGTGTGCTGGTCCAGCAGCTGTGTCACCAACAGCATCTCCAGCAACTGCTGATCTCTGGCAGAAATATCAGTGGCAAGCAGCCTTTCTAATTGATTGTACCCCGTGGGGGACCATGACCCTCTTCCATGCCAGCCCCACATCCCAGTGTCACTTTGATCAGCAAGGAAATAACAGCTTGCCTGGAGCTGCTGTGGGGGAGAGCTCTGTGGGCGTAGTGGGAGTGCTCACGTGTCAGAAGAGCCACTACAGTAGTAAAGTCTGAGTCAGTCACAGCTCTTGGTGCCAGGAGTGGAAGGCACTGGCAGAGCTCCAGCCCCAGGAGCAGGTGACGACTGCTGAACCCTCCCTGGGCCCTGAGAAAATACAGTTTTTTCAGCTCTCTGCACCTGAGGTCTTGGCATCAGAGCTTGGCCTTGCTGAGCTCTGCAGCCCATGAGCAAGGGTCCAGCAGAAGCTGCTCAAAGGTGCCTTCTGAGTGGTGGAATTCCCAGCCCAAAACACGAGTTTTAACCCTTGTCTGTGGCAGTGAGTTCAAGTCCCAGTGTATTCTTGTTAGGTGTGATGTCAGGGCAGTTCCTTCCTGAATAGCAAAACCAAAGCACTGGAAGTAAGAGGTCATTCAGTGATTTTTGGGTGTTCCAGCTCATCTTCTGCTTATGCTGGGCATGGGGTTGGTAACACATGGCAGTGCAGGGTGATCTGCAGTGGCAGCACTGAAGCTGGGCAGAGAAATTCTGAGCAACTCTCCGAGCTGTGTGCAGGCTTTGCTTGGAATAGTAGCCTATTTTGGGGAGAATCCTTTAAGGTGACTGGATTAGAGTGGCTGTTTCTGTGCAAAACATGGAAATGCAGTAAGCAGGCTGTGTCCCCCCCGGGGCTGCAGGTCTCCCTGGGACACAGACACTGTGTTTTTGCTAACACAGGAGATCAGTGTGGCAGTTCTTACAGAATAAGCTGTCTCTGCATATTCCTAGAGTGAGCAGGCCTGGAGTCACCGGGCAGAGCTTTATTCTAACTATAAAAATGATGTAAAAGTTGCCCCTGCTCAGCTGACATGGTCAGTATGGTGCTGAAAGTACAATTGGTGCCTGCACCGATGCAGTGCTGGAACAAAGACGTGCCTGGAGACATGCACAGCTGAGCCAGAGCTGCTGCCAAACAGCAGAATTTTCTGGGGTTTGCCTTGTCATGCTTAACTGCTTGTGAAAGGCCCAGTGGATTCCTGGTGCAGTCAGGCATGGGATTGCTGATGGAGATGGGCTCTGGCAGGGGAAGGGGGTGCTGATGCAAACTTTGAAATGCTGTTTGTGTTGGTCCCCTGAGCAGGCCCGGCTGTTCGATGAGCCCCAGCTGGCCAGCCTGTGCCTGGAGAACATTGACAAGAACACCTCAGACGCCATCAATGCAGAGGGGTTCACAGACATCGACCTGGGTAAGCTCTGCTCCCCCTCCCCGCCCTGCTTTCATAACCGGCTTGTCTCCAGAGTTGTCACAGGTTGGTTCTTGGCACTCTGGGGCTCTGCTGTTCTGGAGCAATCTGTTGAACAGTCGCTGGCATGAAGTGGCTGGAGACAGGGCATGTGCCAAAGAGCTTGCTGGCTTGCCTGCAGAAATACCCTGGAATCTGCTTACTTTGGTGCAACTCGAGTTTTCTGGGCATGACACAAAGCCCATTTCCTGTGTTGATGTTGGCAGGTTTTGGGTGGGCGTAACTTGCCTTTTTTTGTGCAGTTGGCTTCGTTCCCCAAGTCTTTGTCAGGTTTTGGAGTTAAAAAGGTGTTGTGTTTTTGGAACTGAGAACTGGCTGTTTTAATTATCCTCTGCAGTTTCCAAACTTGCTGGGCACAGTTAATGAACATTAAAATTCAGACTTTAACCTTGCTCTAATGAGACGGGCTGTGGAGGTAAGGCACGGGTCACCTTCTGGCTCTCAGGCTGCTCGTTTCATCCAAGTAAGTTGCAATTCATCCTCCTGCACTTGAACTAACGTGCCAATTAAATGGGCTCTGTTTGCTGCTCCAGCGAGTTCCCTGCTGATGGAATATGCAGATGAATCCCCCCGGGAGGCTGCAGGCAGCACCCGTTTGCTGGGTCGCTCCTGGTTCCCTTGGCTGCTCCCGGGGTGACGGGGTCCCTGTGTGTGTGCCTTGCAGACACCCTGGTGGCAGTGCTGGAGAGGGACACGCTGGGGATCCGGGAGGTGCGGCTCTTCAATGCCGTGGTTCGCTGGTCCGAGGCCGAGTGTCAGCGGCAGCAGCTCCAGGTGATTCCAGAGAACAAGCGGAAGGTTCTGGGCAAAGCTCTCTCCCTTATCCGCTTCCCACTGATGACTATTGAGGAGTTTGCAGCAGGTAACTGAACAGAGGCGTGTTTGGCAACCCTGGGCTTTGCTTTCTCTCGGCTGCAGAGAGTCAAGTGATGTGAAAGGGGCTTTTTCTCTGGGTATCCTGTAGGAAATCAAGTAGGAAATTATCCCCCGTTGGCCCCCATTCCACCACAATCTCCCCCATCACTCTCTCTACAGGGGGCTTCCAAGAAGGCTGGAGAGGGACTTTGGGCAAGGGCCTTGAGTGACAGAACGAGGGGGAATGGCCTTAAGCTTAGGAGAGCAGGGTTAGATGGGATTTTGGGAAGGAATTGTTCCCTGTGAGGGTGGGGAGGCCCTGGCACAGGTTGCCCAGGAAAGCTGTGGCTGCCCCATCCCTGGGAGTGTCCAAGGCCAGGCTGGACAGGAGCAACTTGGGATAGTGGAAGGTGTCCCTGGGGTTGGATGAGGTGGACTTTAAGGTCCCTTCCTGCCCAGTCCATTCTGGGATTCCATGATTCATTCCTACTGATTTACAAGATTTTCTGTGTAAATGCTGTTTCCATCCATGACCATTCCCTTGTTTTAGAGCCTGTGGTGCTCCCTTGGGAGGAGCAGAGGGATCCCAGCTGGTTGTTTGTCCTCATGGCATGGTTGGATGGTCACTGCCCCACTCACCTGACAGCAAAGTGGGGTTCACCTGCTTCCCTTTCCAAGCACTGCCAGCATTTCAGCTACACAAAGCTAATGGAGTTGCAGACAGTTGGTGTTGATTGTAGCCTGCCCCCAAAGAGGAATGGGGATGTTTCTCCCCATCCTCTGCCTGTAATACAGTGGTGAAGGCCTTGCCATTCAGAGCAGAGCTCCCCATCAGAAAAACTTGCCAAATGTCCTGTGAGCTGAAGGCTTGGTGTTGTTTAGTCTGTGTCCCAAAGCATTTTTCAAGTTTACATTCAGATCCTGCTCCACAAAGACATCTAAATCATTTAACAGTTTTCACTAAAGACTGCTTTGTTTTGTTTTCATTGCCTGCTGTCTTTGACTTCATCCTCTGGTGATTCCCCAGGGATTGGAAGCTGGCAATCAGCTGGAATAGTTTTCATGCTGAAAGACACAGTGGAGCCATTTCCAAAACTGCAGCTTGTTTTAGGCTGCAGTGCTGTGAAGGAAGGAGCAGACAGGGTCCCTGAGCAGGGCACTGCTCAGGGCTGATGGCAGCAGCTGCTCAGTCCTTCATGTCCCCGTTCCCACCTGAGGAGGGATGGTAGTAGGAAGTAACTCTGTGTTAAAGCTTGGTCCCCACAGCTGTGATGGGGCCTTAGGGATGTAGATCTCTTCAGAAACAGCCTGGTCAGGGAGGCAGATCTTTGCATTTTTCTGCAGACCTCATTTCTTGCAACCCTTCTGATTTTGTACCATTCTCTCTCTGGGAGGAATGTGTTCATTTTGGCACTTTGGGGTTGAAGCCTTTGAGCTGGGGATGCCAATGCCCTTCCCCGTGCAGTCTGTCCCAAACTGCCTCTGCCACATCTCTGTGCTTTGAGAGAAACTCAGTTTTCTTCATCCACTTTAACCTCAAAGATGAACAAAACCCCCAAACCTGAGAGGCTGCACTGATCAGCTGTTCCTTAAACAAGGGACTCCCTTGGAATTCTTTCAGCTTTGTCCTTTTTCTGAGTTTGAGTGACTCTGATTTCTGTGGTGATCACAGCAGTGACAGGAGGGGGAAACCTCTCCCCTCCTCCACCCCCTCAAAAGCCAAAAAAAAAAAGAGGAATTTTACAGCACTGGTTTCACCAGTTTATTTTATAATCTGGTATCCAACGTGGGGTTTTGAATGAAGATGTTTTAACTGGCAAATGTGTCCCTCCCTTCCCCCAGAGCAGGGAATTTGGAACGTTGAAGAAGTGAGTTGCAGCAACCTGGGATAAGTTCAGACACGATCAGTGAGGCTCATTTTTGCTGAGCAAAGTATCCAAAAGCTCATTTACCTGTGAACAGTTGACTTCCTTAAATTCTTCCTTCTCTGCCCATTGCAGCCTTGGACCATGTTTTGTCTGGGTAACATCAAGCTGGATTTAACCCACTGCAAGTAGTTTTGGACAAACAAGTAGCTGGGAATTTACTCCCCACCTGGAAGAGCACTTAATGCTGTTGTTGCTTCAGTACACAGTGGTCTTGTTTCTGTTCAAATAGAGGTTCAGAGAGGCTTTTAAACCTTAGGCTAAAATACTCATTTTTAGCTGTTTTTACTTTTGAAGCTGTTTGAAGTAGTTTGCAAAGCTTGAGTTTAGAGTCACCGAGTTGGTTGCCCAGAGCAGCTGTGGCTGCCCTGGAAGTGTCCAAGGCCAGGTTGGACAGGGTTGGAGCAACCTGGGCTAGTGGGAGGTGTCCCTGCCCATGGCAGGGGGTGGCACTGGATGGGCTTTAAGGTCCCTCCCAACCCAAACCATTCTGTGATTCCGTGATGACTTTGGAAAAACATCTTGTTACTGGAGAAAAGTTGAGAATGGGTTTCAAGTCCTGCTAAAACCCACCAGCCCTTTTCCCTGAGTCCTGCAACAAACATGCAAGATGTGGATTAAATGCCTGAGGGAAGGGGGGACTCAAAGCAGGGCATGAGCTGAACGTTTGTCTTGAGTAAAAGCACTCCTAAACCTTTTGAGTTGATGGTGAGTGGGTGACATTCCCTCTCACTGCCCCTCGTGGGCTTCCATCGTCTCAGCCATTGGAGTGGATGTTGGAAATTCCTGTCTCTTGCCAGTGTTATCATCTCCAGAGAGAGTGGAGCAAGGATTAGCTGCGTGCTTTAGGTTCTTAATCCAGTCCTAGCAGCCAGATGCAGTTGGGCTCCCCAGAGCTGGGTGCTCAGTTGCTGTTCCATGTCCGTGCTCCACGCGGAGGCTCCGTGATCCGTGACTGCTGGGTGGATAAAGGGCAGGCAGCACGTTTGTCTGGGGTTTAATGTCCTGATGCACCGGTGGAATTCCATCTCTGATGGGGCTTTGGCTCGCTCCCAGCTGCAAGTCAGGCTTGTAAATCCCATGTAAATCCCAAGGGGATCCCTTCTGGTTGTGCAGATTTGAGCACCACAGTATAAGAAGGATGTAAAGCAGTTGGAGAGTGTCCAAAAGAGGGACACGTTGTTGGGGAAGGGTCCGGAGGGGAAGGGTCTGAGGAGCAGCTGAGGGCACTCGGCTGGTTCAGCTGGAGCAGAGGAGACTGAGGGGAGACTCCTTGGGGGCTGCAGCTCCTGCCCAGGGGAGGCGGAGGGGCAGGGACTGAGCTCTGCTCTGGGACCAGGGACAGGACCCAGGGAAGGGCTGGAGCTGTGCCAGGGGGGTTGGGATGGATCTCAGGGAAAGGTTCTTCCCCCACAGGGTGCTGGGGCACTGCCCAGGCTCCCCAGGGCAGTGGGCACGGCCCCAAGGCTGCCAGAGCTCCAGGAGCGTTTGGACAACGCTCTGAGGGACAGGGTGGGATTGTTGGGGTGTCTGGGCAGGGCCAGGGGTTGGACTGGATGGACCTTGTGGATCCTTCCCAGCTCAGGATATCCCAGGATTCTGTGGTTCCACAGGGCTGACGGCATCTCCGCTCCCTCCCCTGTGCAGGGCCTGCCCAGTCGGGGATCCTGACGGACCGGGAGGTCGTGAGCCTGTTCCTGCACTTCACCGTGAACCCGAAGCCGCGGGTGGAGTTCATCGACCGGCCGCGGTGCTGCCTGCGGGGCAAGGAGTGCAGCATCAGCCGCTTCCAGCAGGTCGAGAGCCGCTGGGGGTACAGTGGGACTAGTGACAGGATCAGGTCAGCACCCTCACAGTCGTGTTCCTGAGCCCTCACCCTGCTCCAGCCCTAACCCCCCGGTCTGTGCTAGGCCCGACTGCCACCTGTAAAGTGTTTTGCTGGGTAGAAGCATCCCCTGCCTGTTGGTACCACTTTGTATCTCTATTGGCAAAGGTTTCCCACAAACAGGGCCCTGCAGCCTCTGGAAAAGGACAGAAATAAGCCCTCAGTGGCTTCCTGTAGCTGTAAGGGCATGTATGGGGTCACCAGGCTTCCCCTTGTGCCTGGGGGGACGGGGAGCCAGTGCTCCATCCCTGCTCTGTCAGAAGTGTCAGGGTGGCTTCTTGAAGCCCTGTAACCTCCCCTGTTTGAGGGAGGGGTTGGGATAAAACACTGCTGTGCTTTCTGCTGATGCCTAGTTTGTTCAGACCTGAGCTTGTGGGGAACCAGCAGAGCCCAGTCCTGGGAACAGGAATGGCAGCTGTGGCTGGCACAGGGTGCTTTTTGTGTGGCCAAGGAACGAGAGCAAGACAGGAGGGGATCAGAAAGCCTTGGTTCTTTCCTGATCTATCTTTGTCTTGGGTGGAAGGGGCCTCTCAGCAATGTTATTCTTTACAATTTTTAAGCCTTTTCATCGGTGGTTCTGTTGCCCATCACTGGAGCTGTTGGTTGGATCCTCTGATCCGATCACCCTGACAGGAGATGGGATTGGGAACTGCTGCCAGCTCCCAGCACTTCCTGCTCTCAGATCTAACGCTCAGAGACCTTTTGGAGCTTGTGTTTGACTTTAAGTTCAGCCTCTGCAGCATCAGGGTCAGCTCCAGTACAATATTCCATGCTGGCTGCACAGCAGGGGCTCCAGCCTGCCCCAGGTGTTTGTTCTGGAAACACTCAAGGCTGAAGGAGTTGGTGGATGGGTGCAGAAATGCTGTTGGCAGCTTGGCAGGTACTGGGACTTGTGCTGCTTGAGAAGGTGGAGCTGTAGTGGGTGAATATCCTTGTCTGTGCTGCCTTGGGCAGCAGGAATTCCTGTGCTCTGGAGTGATTGAATCCTAATCTCTGCTCTGGTAACTCTGGAATGCAGCAAACACTCAGCAGCATGTGAACAATTGTTCAGTGCTCAGCAGTGACATTCCCAGTGGCACTTCAGTGGTGCTGGCTGGACAGACCACCGTGGGGGTGGGCACCACTCCACACTCCCAGGCTGCCCTGCCCATGCCCTGCTGGCATTTTGGGGTGCTGATGTTTCACCACAATCTGGAAGCACTTTCTGAGCCTGGACCCTGGAGTTTGGTGATGGGATTGTGCAGGTCTGTGTTTCACATGAGCCAGCAAAATGAGGTGTGAGCTGACAGCTGGTGGTTTCTGTGGAGGGTTTCAGCCCTTGGGAAGAGTTGCACTTAAATCTGTGGTGGGTTTGATTAAATCAGAGGTGTAAAATCAACACAAGTGAAGGTATCTGTGTATCAGCCTTGCATTGAAGCAATACAGGGGTGGCAAGTTTGGGCTGACTTCCCTGCTCTGTTCCTGCAGGTTCTCAGTAAACAAAAGGATATTTGTAGTTGGGTTTGGATTATACGGATCCATACACGGGCCAACGGATTACCAAGTGAACATACAGGTAATTCTCTTTACTGCCTTAAATATCCCAGCTGCTGTAGGGACTGGCAAATGCATTTTGGTGAAGATGCAACAACATCCAAAGTTCAGAGGGGACTGTGTGTGTTCCTGGGCAGGGGGGTGGCAGATGCAGCGAGGGCCAGATGGGGCACTGGGATCAGAGGGATTATTGTGCTCGATTTTACGCAGCTCCCGTTTCACACGTCACTGCAGCATCTCCCCAGGTCTGCTCCCAGCTTTGGGAATACGTCTCAGGGAGTTGGGGGGCACTTTGGGAAGGGGCTGTGCATGTTCTCCCACCCAGAGCAGGCCAGGCTGATCCTGCTGTAGGTGGCTGCTGCAGGAATACTTGGTTCCAGGCTGCACAAATGCAGTGGAGCAGCCACGATTCCACAAGGGAGGAGCACAAAGGAATTGCTGTGCTGGATCTGTGCAGTGCCCCTGTGCAGCCCCACGTCACCAGGGCCCTGTTTGGGATGATGAGCAGGGCTGAGGGACACTCAGTTGTCTGAAGTCCATCGTGATCCTGTGCAGAGACTGGGGTGGCTCAGGGGGGTCTCTGGGTTCATGTGTCACCCCTGGCTGGGTCCCTGGAGAAAGACTGTCCCCAGGAGAGTCACCCCAGCACAGCACAGTCTGTCAGCATTTCTCCCTGCATTGCCAGGGGCTCAGCCTGGTGCCCTGAGCTCCTGGGAGAGGAGGATCCAAGCACAGTGAGCTGCCCTGCAGTGCTGGGCCAGGCAGGGGAGGAGGGGGTGTCTGGGACCCGAGTCCAGCGAGATCAGAGGTGTCAGAGCAGCTGTGGCTGCCCCAGCCCTGGAAGTGTCCAAGGCCAGGTTGGTCAGGGTTGGAGCAACCTGGGCTAGTGGAAGGTGTCCCTGCACATGGCAGGGGGTGGAGTGAGATGAGCTTTAAGGTCCCTCCTGACCCAAACCATTCCATGTCACAGCACTGATGGGGGATGTAAGAGATGGATGCAGTCGGATGGGGCTGGTCCAGGGGGGAGTCCCTGGGGCTCAGCCAGCGCAGGGACACCCCTGTGCAGGGGCAGGGCAGGCTCTGGCCATGTGCTGAGGGGCTGCCCCCTGTGTTGCAGATCATCCACACGGACAGTAACACAGTCCTGGGGCAGAACGACACCGGCTTCAGCTGCGACGGATCCTCCAACACCTTCCGTGTCATGTTCAAGGAGCCCGTGGAGATCCTGCCCAACGTCAACTACACGGCCTGTGCTACCCTAAAGGTACCCTGGGGGCTGGGGGGTGGGGGGGCAGCTGCTCAGGGCCTTCAGTGCAGCACAGACCTTGCTCTGCCTTCTTTAAGGCCTGTGGTCCAACCTTGGGGGTCGGTGTGATCCCTTACCTGGTGCTGCCATGGGCTGCTTCCCCACCAGCATTCAGAGCTGGTGTGTGACTGGTCTCACAGCACTGAGGAGGGGATGGAAGTGTTTTATGGTGTCAGTTCTGGGGGTGTGTAATCCAGAGCCAGCTGCAGTGGCCTCAAAAGGTTCATGTTCAGCTGTTGAGATCTGGTTAAATTAGTGATAAGTTCTGACAGAGAGGAGAACTGAGCTCAGAGCACCTGAGGTGCAAATCCAGGAGCAAGAGGGAGGAACTGAGGCCTCCAAAGCTCGTTGCTTCAGGCCAGGCTGTGAGGCCAAACCCCCCAGAGAGCCTGGGCAGCAGCAGGGCCCTGACCTGTTCTTGTCTCCCGTGACCCCTGCAGGGTCCAGATTCCCACTATGGAACCAAAGGACTGCGCAAAGTGATCCACGAATCCCCAACAACGGGAGCCAAAACCTGCTTCACGTTCTGTTACGCGGCTGGGAACAACAACGGCACCTCTGTGGAGGATGGACAAATCCCAGAGATCATCTTCTACACATAGTGCTGCTCCCAGCCCACCCCGGACTCGACTGTCCCCCGGCACCTCCCGAACTAAATCTCTGGCTGAGTTTGACCACACCAACTGGAGCCACACTAGCCAAAGGTCTCAGTGAAATCATTTCAAAGCTCATGTTCTGCCTTGTGCTAGTGCTGCTGCTGCTCTCAGGTGCCAGTTGAGCTGGTGTCCCGGTGCCAGCCAGGCTGGTGTCCCAGTGCCAGGCGAGCTGGTGTCCCAGTCCCATTCGTAGGTTGTCTGTGGCTTGTTGTTTCTCACCTCCTGATTAACCCTTATCTAACAACGTGCGTTTTCTTTGGACTGTAATGAATGTAGATGCTTTTCCACCAGTCAGAAGCAAGGAAATGAGTGGCTCTGGTTGTGGTTTCACTTGGCAGGAGGTCACCCTGCAGACAGGCACGGGCAGGGCTGGGGGCCCGTCCTCTGCTCCAGCTCAGCAGGCGAGGCCAGACTGTGGGGCTTGGCCAGCCCGTGCCCAGCACCTCCCTCCCTCCCTCCCTGCAGCCTCAGCACACACGGCCACCTTCAAAACTGGAGGAAAGTGGCCTCTTCCCTGAGGCTTTGCTGTTCCAGCACTACGTAGTCCTGAGGGAGACCCCAAACCCGACTACAGCCGGAGGGACCGCGGCGTTTTCCTGCTCTTCTCCCTGATCTGTGACAATCAGTTGGTGACAGCAAGGTGACCTCCCTGTGGAGTGGGAAGGGACAGGCCCTCCTGCATCCTGAGTCCCTGTGGTGCTGCTTCCAAACTCCTGCTTCAGGCACTGGGGGATGCTCAGCTCACCCCCGAGCAGCCCCAGCACAGGGCACCTGTACTGGTCATTACTGGTCAATACTGGTCGTTGCTGTGCTGGTCCTTTTCAGAGCCACCAGGGTTTGTCAGTGGAAGCAGAAGGGCACCTGCCTCACCTGTCCCCTGTTCCTGGGCACTCCTGCTGGTTCCATGTCTTTTCTCTGTTCCTGTGCATTGCTGCCCTGCCCTGGTGGGAGCAGGAAGAGGCTGGACGTGCCCCTGCCTGGTACCTGGTAACACAGCAGATGGACAAGGACGGACCAAACGGTTCAGGAAAACCTGGAATGTTCTCCGTGTCAGTGTGTGTTTGCCCAGTGCCTGTGGGGCAGGCCCAGGAGGGAGATGCAGCACTCACAACATCCCCTGTGAGCTCAGTGACCTCAAAGATGCCCCTCTGTACCCGTTCAGGGCTGGCTGCTCCCCAGAGTGGGGAAGGGGGGTGCTGCTCCTGGGGCTGCCTGAGCAGCCCCACAGTCACTGCCTGCTGGGGAAGACCACAGGACTCTTCCTGCCCTGCCCTGCAAAGGAAGCTGGAATTAAGCTCAGCTTGGCTGCAGGACTGGAACCAGCAGAGTCTGCGTGGGACTGGCCAGGGTGGTGCTGCCTCAGAGCTGAGGTTCCCCTCATGGCCCCCCTGCTCTGCTCCATCACATGAGCCCTGTCACCCTCCTGCCACAGGATTTCACTGCTGGAACTTGAAACCTGGTTGTCCTTGGCTGGTGCTCGTTTGCTGGGGAAGGGGATCCCCTCCTCTGGCTCAGTCCTGGGGCTGTGCTGGGTGCTGGGAACACCCTGCACCTCCTCCCCTGCAGCTGCCAGAGATGCCCAGAGCGTGTTCCGATCTCCAGGAACACAGTGTAAGCTGTGTCTTGTCAGCCTGACTCCAGTGGGATGGTTCTGATATGGCCAGTACTGAAAAATAATAGAAAAAAATTTAAAAAAAGAAAAAAAAAAAAAGAAGAAAACCCAAGTGGGTCCATGACTTGGTGACTGAACCTGACTGTGCAATGCAAACAGTGTTGTGAGGTGGATTCACAGCCCGGGCACCCTCGGGATGTACATAAGCTGCTCCTGCTCCTGCTGCTGCCCCTCTCCCAGAGGTGGTGGGAACATCACTGCTGGCACCCAGGGCCCCTGTTGGTGCCTTCCCCGGGGGGGCTGATCTGGGTTCTGCACCTCGAGGCATCTGGTGCAGGTGGAAATAGTGGAATGATGGAATTGGAGAGAAACAAAGCTGCGCACTCGGCTCTGGGAAGAGCAGGGTGGGGCTGGCCCTGCCCGGCCGTGGTGGTGCCCTCCCTGCTGCTCTTCCCTGGAAGCATCTGTTCTCTTATTTTGTTACGTGAGTTCTTATCCCAAATCCCACCTTCCTGCCCTCCCCCCACCGGGCAGGTCTGGCAGTGGAAGGAGAGGAGTCAAACTCTGAACTACACCCGAGCAATTTCTGTTCTTAACGGCTTTCCCCGCAGTTTGATGCAATTCTGGCTTTTGTAGATAGATGAATGTAATTCCTTGTTGGACATGCCTGTTCCCAAAGTATGAGCCATCCTGTTGTACCACGTCACCTTCCGAGCGGAGCGGGGTGTCCCCTCCGTGCTCTTGATGAATGTATCCGATGCTCTCGTTCCGTGTTCACACTCTGCTTCTGGCCAGCTTTGTGATTTGTAAATAGGAAACAATAAAGACACCCCGGTTGTCTTTATGAGGTTTCTGTGTGATCTGAGGATCTGCTGGAATATCAGAGGGAAGGAAGGTGGAGGGGGGAGTCTGTGCTGAGCTGGCTCCCCTGGCCCTTCTCCCCCAGCCCAGGGTGGGGGTCCTCAGCTTCCCTCTCCATGGGGTGTGGGATGAGCCAGATCCTTGGGCATCCCAAGGATGGGGGAGCCCAGACCTTCCGAGGATGAGGCTTTGGTGGATCCTGTGTTTGTCTGGGGGAGGGAGCAGGATGGTGCCGGGTGGGCACTCTCTGGTCTCTTTTATGACTGAATTTCTTTAACCTTAATTGAAGGGTCTTGACAATTAAATGCACTAAAAGCTGCCTCAGCCTTTGTAGGGGCAGGCCCGGGTCTGGAGGTGAAGGGCTGCTCCCTGCCATGGGATTCCCAGCAGGGAATCCTGCTGGAGCAGGGATGAGGGCTGGGATCGGCACAGCCCCTTCCTGTGTCTCCGGGGCTCTGCCCTTCGCCCGAGGGAGCAGCGGGGCCCTATTGAACGTGACCCCCCGGGCTGGGAGCAGCTTCCCACCCTTTCCTGGCTGTGCTGGAGCTCCACCCGGGCACGGGAGTGCGGGAGCGGGGACAGCCCGGCCCGGCCGCTCTGCTCGAGGGCAGTCGGTGCTGTCGCACGGTGCTGTGGCCGTGGCTGGGTCGTGCCTGGCTCAGCACAACGCCCTGTCCTCCCTCCTCCTCCTCAGCCGCGAGGCCGAGGGCTCCCCACAGCCCAGCCCCGGGTGTGGTCTCAGCCTGGACCCCCAGTTCTGAACCCTGTCCAGCTGGGAGCTGCCCTCCCACACCATCACCTTCCTCACTCGCGGGCGTTACGGGAGCGTCCACCGGGAGCCTGGGCAGGGCCAGGCCGGATTTGCTCCCCTGATCCCACCTCTCAGCCTTTCCTCCTGCTGCCTCACGGGAAAGAAGAGATGGGGGGATGGATCTTTAGCTCCACAGGGTTCAGCAGCAGGAAAGGCCCACGGGCAGGGGGCCTGGGGCTGCTCTCACCACCCCCACGACAAGGACCCCACCCCACCCAATCAAGCACGGAATGCAGAAGCGTTGGGTTTTAAAGATTTTTTTTTTATTATTATTTTTTGGTTTTATTAAAAAAAAAGCCCCTAAATTCTATGGCTTCCAGGAAGCATCAGAGAAATTGAAATGCCGTTTCTGTACACTTGGTTTTGTTTTTTTTTTTAAAGCAGTAACTAAACTCGCAATGGAACAAACGCTCTCACGTACAATCGCAGTATTTGGACTCCTCGCTGGAAGGACAGAGAGTCCCGGGCTCGGGCCGGGGACGCAGCCGGGCACACCGGGAATACCGGGAACACGGAGCCGGGAACCCCCCGATGGCCGCGCCCCTTCCCCTCCGCGGCTCCTCTTCGGGCTCCGCCGGGGCTGCTCCGAGCCGACGTGCTGAGAAGGGGCCACTTCCAGTGAAAATTTAAGGCGATTTTTTAAAGATTTGTTTGTTCGTTCGCCTCGCTGGGGACACGAGGTCAAACGTTGCACGTCCCCTCCCCGCCGTGGCCAGAGACACATCAGCAGCTGGGGCCGCCCTGCCCGGAGGAGCCAAAGCCGGGCTTTGACATCCCGAATTCAGGACCAAGAGGGGCCCCGGCGCAGTTCCCTCCCCAGGGCCCCCACGGCCCGTGGGAGACCCCCGTGCCCCCCCAGCCCCCCGAGATGGTCAGTTTGGACAAATGTTTCGAAGCAGCCACAGATGGTCCCATCCCCCCCCGCCCCCCCAGCACAGCCTCAGCCCCTCTCGGGGCAAAACAACAGGGTTTTGGTAAAGATAAGTGTGTGTCCCCCCCAAAATGTGTCACAATCAATACACACGACAGCGCACGGGTCAGTCACGTGGGGAGCTGCGGTGCCCTGGGGGTGGTGAGGAGCAAGGGGTGGGGGTGGGGGTGTGTCAGTTCCAAAAACTCCAGTTCCTCCCCCCAGGGGCAGGCTGGGCCCTGGCACCGGTGCAGGATTCCATGGAGGGAGGATGCCATGGCAGGAGGCTGCCATGGTGAGGGAATTCCACGCTGGCAGAGCTGGGACACCCCGCTGCCCTTCACTGCCCGGCGCTCACCACGTGCCTCCAGCCCCGACCGCGGGGCCTCGGGGGGCTCGGACTGTAAAAACCAACGCTGCCCCTGCCCACCCCTCCGACACCCAGCCCCGAGACACGGCAGCGCCACACGCGAGGCTGCTCCGCTTCCCCTCCCTGCTCTGCCACCGCCATTCCTGGGTCCCTTTGGTCTCGGCCGTCCCTGTCCCTGTGTCCCCCCAGCCCCCGGGAGTCTCCGACCCGCTCCCGGCGGGCCCGGACGGCGCCTGTATTGCTCACAAAAGTGCATCGTAAATGAACTGTAAACGCGTTTCCTCTCCCCGCCCCGCGCGGCCCCGGCTCCCCCTCGCCGGGCGGAGCCCGAACCGCTGTCACCGACGGCCTGACCGAGGGGGGACCCGGCGGGGGGCGCGGGGCGGGGGCCCGAGGGAAGAGCAGAATTCGGTAACACTGAAGATGACGGTCAAAGACTGACGACTCAGCACTCTGCACCGAGACTCACTTTAAATTAACTTAAGAGACAAAGAAGCAACAGAAAAAAAAAATTCCTCCTTAGCCCACTGCTCTCGAAATTGTCTTCATCTTCTTCTGACAGCGACGGGTCAGAGTCTGTAGTTGATCCCCATTTCAGACTAGTTATAGACTCAAAGCAAGAGACGCCGTGGATTTGTTTCGGTTTCCTTTTTTTCCTTCCTTTTTTTTTTCTGTTTGACGGACGCAGGAACTTCAGCGAAGTTGGGCTTGGTTCGAGTAAACGGCCACACGCCGGGCGGGTGGCGGAGGAAAGGACAAGCAGTTTGGGGAGGCCCCGCTCCCCAGCTGCGCGTGGGGCGCTGGGGGAGCCCGTCCGGCCCGGCCCCCCCCCGTCCCCGTCCAGCCCGAGGGGCTGCCGGCTCCGCGGGTCAACATCCAGCCACGGCCAGAGGGAGAGGAGCCGTCGCGGCTCCGCCCGGCCCCGGCTCACTTGCGACGCTTGGTGGTTTTCCTCTTCCTTCTCTTGAAGAAACAGCAGCACCTGGGGACAGAGGGACCTGTCAGAGCCCGGGTCGGGCACAGAGGGCGCGGCACCCCCGTGGTCAGGGGGCACAGAGACCCCTCGGTGTCTTGGAGAGACCCCCACGTGAGCAGAGCTGCTCTAGGAAGTGCCCTTGGTACATGGCAGGGGCTGGACTGGGGACACCACGATGGCCACGGCAAGTGACACCTTTCACAGCAAGTGGCACCAACCAGGGGAATGACACTGGCCATGGCATCCCGTGCCAGCCATGTGGCCAGAGCCAGGGGCTCCAGAGGAGGAGCAGCCCAGATCCGGGCAGCCCCTCTGTGCAGGAGCGAGGTGGGAAGGGCTGGGTGGGGTGGCCCTGCAGGGACACCTCGGGGGTGCTGGGGGACAGCTGGGCTGTTCCTCCCCAGAGGGCACAGGACAAGGCACTGCGGGGAGGGGCAGCGGGGCCGGGCCTTACTTTGTATCGTCTGTCACCTCCACCTCGGTGGGGGCTGTGATGGGGGCGTTCGAGTGTCCTGCCGTCGGGTCGTCTGTGTTCAGCTCTCCGTTAGTGGAGCTCATCACCTGGGGACAGACGAGTGTCAGCAGGGGCAGCCCGGGGTTCGCAGCCCCGTCCCTTCCCCGCGGCGGGGGGGCAGCCCAGGAGACCCCCGGGCTCTCCCCGGGAGCACCGAGGTCCCTGCAGGCACAGGATGGTGCCCTGGCCCAGACCACAGCGCTCAGTCTCGGTGCTGAGCCCTCCCCACAGCACCAACACGGAGAGGTCCGACCCCAGCGCCTCAGGGAGGATCCCGGCTCCAGGGAGCCCCCGCATATCCCACCGGGAGAGGGGCTTGCCGGCAGCTCCGGCGTGTGCAGGAGACACAGCCCGGGGAAGCTGTGAGCTCCAGGAGACCTTCCCACGGCTGAGACCCGGACACGGCTCCTGCTCCCCGGCCCCGAGAGCCGGCACCGCCGGGTCTGCAGGACCCAGCCCAGTGCCCACCCCGAGGGGTCCCTGAGCTCCTGCCCACTCGCCAGGGCAGCAGGGTCGGGCGAGTGCCAGGCTCGGGGGGACATCCGAGCCACCAAAGCAAGGACAGGGCCGGCACAGGCAACTGGGAGGTGCCTGAACTCCCTTCCTGCGCCCGCTGCCCGCAGGCAAGGCAGGAGCTCCCTGGGGAGGCTCCCCAAG